GTCTCTACCTCCATCTCTGGCGTCACTGCTGCTCTGGATAGGGTCACACACTCTGCTCTTCTCCCTTGATGGTCCCAGGGTCCTCTGCTCCTGGACTACAAGATCAGCCACTCCCCTCCTTTTGTTACAAATGTCTACCTTTACATTTGCAACACTCACAATCAGTCCTGATAGCAATTATTCACTATTGAACCACAATAGTCTTATCCCCATCTCCTTTCACCAGCCCTGTCCAGACAGGTTGGAAACCACTCAGTGATGATTCTACCTTCCCCCATACCCTCTGAAATTAGGCTCCCTCTTGAAAGCTTGTAAGCCAGTCACTTCGTGCCTTTGTAGCCCCCCCATTTTGGGTAGCCAATGTCTAAGTTGCCCATCCCTGTCAACCCTATGTACCAAGGAGGCAGGAATGATCCTCGCTGTAAATATCCGTTCCCTCTTTTGAGCTACTGTATCTGCAAGCATAGGTCAAGTTCATAAAATTGTAGTGGATTACACTTTTTTCCTCTTTTTCTTCCTCTAATCGAGTTCTGGTCATCCAACCACTGAAGCCAGGTCAAATGGGTACTATCTGCAAGTATAGGTGTTCTTGTGCATCTCCCCTCACTTATCAGCCAAACCCTTCACTCTCCACTCTAGTCCTCTGTGGCCATGTCCCTGCCCCTGGGCCCAGGGGTCCCTAGGTCTTGCCATACTGCTGACCAACCATGTCTCAACCCAGGTTGACAAGAGTCTATTGAACATGGTTAGATTTAGCTTACAGCTTCATTGCTCTTTTCCCCCACTTCCCCTTATCAGTGACCAACGTGCTCAGCAACAAGACCACATGACTGCTCATGTATTCCTCTTGAATCTTAGACTTGGAAGGGGGTTTACCCTGGGGGAACCTGACCACTTGCTTTGATGGCTCCCAGGCAACTACTTGCTTGTTCTTGTAGTAGTCAATCAGACTGCCGTTATTGTTTTTGATTTTTCCTGCTGGTCTTTCTTTCAAGAAGTATCTTGTTTCTTCTAGCTATTCCAGGCTGGTCTGCTTGTCCTTTCAGTGGAAATTTCCCACCTCAAAATGTTATGCATGGGGTTCAGGATTCCACCTATGGTCTTATGCAATGCAAAGGAAGCCTCCTTCACTCTGCAAGTTCTGGGTCCATTTTAGGTATTCTAAGGAGCTCTGGTAGCGTAGTGGTTACGAATCGGGCTGCGAACCTTAAGGTCAGTGGTTCGAAACTACCAGCCGCTCCGCGGGAGAAAGATGAGGCTTTCTACTCCCGTAAGGATTTACACCCTCGGAAACCCTGTACAGGGTCGCTATGGGTCGGCTCCGACTCGAAGGCACTTAACAACAACAACAACAATCAATTATAGGCTAAAGACAGATTTACAAGCTTTCTATGGTGAGGTGTCTGGCTATTCCTTTTTCTCCCCCTCAAGAGTCTATTTTATAATGGTATGCAAGGGAAACCAAGATTTAAAAGACAGCCAAGCATCTTAACATTATTTCCCCTCTTTTACCCATTCAAACCATAGCATTGATACTTGATGTGAAGACTCCTTCCCTCTCTGTTGGTCTTTAGAGTTTTACTACCTCCATGAGTATAGGTCAAGTTCATCAAATTGTAGCAATTTATTATATCAATTGACCCTCATTTCCTTTATTAAAAATTTGTTTTTTGTTTTTTATCTTCCTCTAGTTGAGTTCTGATTATCAAGCCATCAAGGCTAGGTCAAATGGGTACTGTCTGCAAGTTTGGGTGTTCTTGTGCATCTCCCCTCAATTCTTATCAGCTGGATGCTTCACTCTCAGCTCTAGCCCTCTGTGGCTATGTCCTTGTCCATGGGCTTAGGTGTCCCCAGGTCTCACCACACTGGACCAACCAGCCCTTCTCATCTCCAGGTCAACAGGATCAATTCTTGTAGTAGGCAGTCATACTGCCATTTTTGTTTTGGTTTTTTCCTGATGATCTTTCTTTGAAGATGTATCTTCTGTCGCTCTAGCTATTCCAGGTTGGTCTGCTTGTCCTTTCTAGTGGGAACATCCCACCTCTGAAGGTTCTGGATGTTACTTTTTATTTCAACATTGTAGCACTATTTACAGTGACATGTATTCATGTACTGCTTTGTAATTCTTAAAAATTTGCTATGATTTTTTTCGGATGAGGTTAGGTACAAAGAGTCAGACATAAAAATATGAAGGTGTAATAAAGTTCATGATAAATGAGTTTAAAAGACAATGAAAGTTATTCACTGGGAGTCAAAAAGGCAAGCAATCAAATCTCTCAGGACAGCCCCCCCCCCCCCAAGACTGAAACTTAAAGGGAGCACATGAGTAGGCATGTAAGCTTGCTGGAAACCATGTTAGTCTACTGGTGAGTGCAAGAGGGAGAAAGGCAGCAATGAGGAAAGGGGCTGAGTTCAACCACATTCCATAGACTCTGTTGATCTAGATATGAGAGAGAGAAGAGAAAGGGCTGGTTGGTCTGAAGTGTGATGAGACCTGGGGACACCTGAGCCCATGGACGAGGACATAGCCACAGAGGGCTAGAGCTGAGAGTGAAGCATCCAGCTGATATGAAGTGACGGAAGACGCACAAGAATGCCCAAACTTGCAGATAGTACCCATTTGACCTAGCCATGATAGCATGATGATCAGAACTCAACCAGAGGAAGATTACAGAAAATTTTTTTTTTGATGAAGGAAACAAGTATAAATTTCTACAATTTGATGAACTTGACCTATACGTATAGTCAAGCTCAAAATACCAACCAAGAGGGAAGGAGTCTTCACATGAAGTATCAATCCTATCACCTCTGTGTACAGGATAAATAGGGACAGGCAACTTAGATATTGACTACCTAAAATTGGGGGGGGGGGTCTCTAAAGGCAGGAAATGACTGGCTAACAAGTTTTCAAGAGGGAGTTTAGTTTCAGAGTGTACAGGGACAAGGTAGAATCCCCTCTGAATAGTTTTCATCTTGTCTAGATGGGTCTGGTGAAAGGAGATGGGGATAAGATTCTTACGATTCAATAGTGAGAAATTGGTATCATGACTAATAGCAACTGTCAGAACTGTAAAGGTAGAAGTTTTGTAACAAAAAGTGGGGAGTAGTTAAGCTTACAGTCCAGGAACAGAGGACCCTAGGACCATCAAGGAAGATGAGCACAAGCGGAATGTGGGACCCTATCTAGAGAAGCAAGGACACCAGAGATGGAGGCAGGCAGAGATGAGGACATGGAGAGATACAGCAGCTATCTCTAGACTAATGGAAAGAGAAAGGCTGTGTGCTGGCGGCCAGGAGGCAGGCTTTCAGAATGTGCCCTTTGGTTGTTTAAATGATGATATATTCCTGGGTGTTTTGTGTACATCAAAAAAAAAAAAACCAAGGTAATAGAAGTAAATACTGTTGAATGATGATGCATGGAGGGGATTGTAATAATTGCAATGAAATGAAATACAATAGGATGAATGTAAAACTGATGTTCTCCCATATACTCAATTCACAATAAAAATTAAAAAAAAGATAATGGAATTTTCCCATAAACTTTTTGTAGACCCCATGTAAAACACACTTCTCATTTATATTTTTAACTCTACCTAGGAACCAAAAATTTCCAAACCACGTATACTGCTGCAGGAGATCGTTGTGTCCACACCAGCTTTTGACATCGTGAGAGTTCTGGAAATGTCAGATGAGGAATTGGGGAGAAGAAAACAGGAATTATATGTCTGGTCTCAAGGTTTATATTGTATGAAATCTCCACCATCTTAAGGCGTGGATGTACAATTGACAGTATAACAAAGTTGTTTGGCAGTTTACTTGTCTGTTTACAAATTTTCAAGAAATAAAATTGAAACAAGCCCATATAACCAGTGTGTAACCTATTTTTAAGACCTTTTTGTATTACTATAGGTACACGTCTCTTTTACTGACAGAATTTTCATCTGAATAAAGTATTTCAGTTGCTGTTGTTGTTTGGTGCCATCAAGTTAATTCTGACCCATTGCGACCTTATGGACAACAGAATGAAACAACTGCATTCCTGCGCCATCCTCACAATTGCTGCTCCACTTTAGTCCATTGTTGATTCCACTGTGCCAATCTGTCTCGTTAGGGGTCTTCCTCTTTTTGGCTACCTCTCCACTTTACCAAGCAGTCCTTCTCCAGGGACTGGTCCTTCCTGATAGTATGTCCAAAGTTTGAGAGAAGAAGTCTGGCTATCTTGGTTCTAAGGAGAGTTCTGGCTATATTTCTTCCTACACATATTTGTTTGTTCTGGCAGTCCATGGTACCTTTAATATTCTTCTCAAACACCATAATTCAAATGCATCAAGTCTTCTAAGGTCTTATCATTGTCCAACTTTCACATGCATGTGAAGCTACTGAAAATACCATGACTTTGAATAATTGTTATCAGGACTGACTGTGAGGGTTGGAAATATAAAAGTGGATGTTTTGCAGCAAATGAAGGGGAGTGATTGAATATGCAGTCCAGGAGCTGAGGTCCCTGGAACTATAAAGGGAGAAGAGTGGAATGCAACACCCTACCAAGAGAAGCAGTGACACCAGAGATGGAGGCAGAGACGACGTGGAGAGATGGAGCAACTGGGTACTCTAGACCCAGAGAGGGACAGGGCTGTGTGCTAACGACCGGGGGTCAGGCTTGGTTGGTTGCTGATGCATGGAGGGCATTGCAACCATGGCAATGAAATGATATACAATAGGATGAATGTAAAGCTAATGTTCTCCCATGCAAACTATCACATAATTCACAATAAAACATTAAAAAAAAAAAAAAGAAAGAAAATACCATGACTTGGGTCATGTGCACCATAGTCCTCAAACTGACATCTTTACTCTTGAACACTTTAAAGAGGTCTTCTGCTGCAGATTTACCTAATGCAATACGTCATTTGATTTCTTGACGGCTGCTTCCATGAGTGTTGATTGTGGATCCAAACAAAATGAAGTCTTGGAAAGTTTCAATCTTTTCTTCATTTATACTGATGTTATTTATTGGTCCAGTGGTGAGAATTTTTGTTTTCTTTACATTGAGGTGTAACCCATACTGAAGGCTGTGGTCTTTGATCTTCATCAGTAACTATTTTAAGTCCATTTTGCTTTAAGCAAGCAAGAGTGTATCATCTGCATATCACAGGTAGTTAATGAGTCTTCCTCCAATCCTGATGCCATGTTCTTCATAACATCCAGCTTCTCGGATTATTTGCTCAGCATACAGTTTGAATAAGGATGGTGAAAGAATACAACCCTGGCACACACCTTTTCTGATTTTAAACTATTCAGTATCCCCTTATTCTGTTTGAACAACTGCCTCTTGTTCTATGCACAGGTTCCTCATGAGCACAAATAAGTGTTCCAGAATACTCATTCTCCGCAATGTTGTCCATAGCTTGTCATGATCCACACAGCCGAAAGTCTTTGCATAATCAACAAAGCACAGGCAAACATCTTTCTGGTATTATCTGTTTTCACCCAAGATCCACCTGACATCAGCAATAATATCCATTGTTCTATGTACTCATCTGAATCCAGCTTAAACCTCTGGTTGTTGTTGTTGTTAAGTGCCGTCGAGTCGGTTCCGACCCATAGCGACCCTGAACAGGGTTTCTGAGGCTGCAAATCTTTATGGGAGCAGAATGCCTCATCTTTCTCCCGCGGAGCAGCTGGTAGTTTCAAACTGCTGGCCTTGCGGTTCACAGCCCAATTCGTAACCACTACGCTACCCAGTTAATGTGCTGTTGCAGCCATTTTTAAATTATCTTTATCAAAATTTTATTTGCATGTGATAATATTGTCTGATAATTTCCAGAAATATGTTGTTGTTAAGTACCATTGAGTTGATTCCAACCCATAGAGACCCTTTATAGGGTTTCCAAGGAGCAGCTGGTGAGCTTGAACCACTGACCTTGCAGTTCAAATGACTTTGCAGTCTGACGTATTAGGCCACATTGCCACACCAGGACTCTTCAAATCAGTTGGACAGATAGCTCCCTTCCAAATTTCTTGGCATAGATCAATGAGTTTCTCCAGTGCTACATCAATTTGTTGAAAGACTTCAATGGTATTACATCAGTTGATGGAGCCTTCTTCTTTGCCAACGCCTTCAGTGCACCTTGGACTTCTTCCTTCTGTAGCATTGGCTCTTGATCATATGCTACCTGCTGAAATGGTTGAACATCAACCACTTCTGTTTGGTGCAGTGACTGTTTGGTGTATTCCTTCCATAATCTTTTTTTTTTTTTTTTCATTCAGTTTTTTTTTTAATGTTTTATTGTGAATTATGTGATAGTTTACATGGGAGAACATTAGCTTTACATTCATACTATCATATATTGTTTCATTGCCATGGTTACAATCCCTTCCATGCATCATCAACCAACCAAAGGGTATATCCTGCAAGCCTGTCCCCTGGTAATCAGCACACAGCCTCTCTCCCTTTCTGGGTCTAAAGTGCCCAGCTGCTCCATTTCTGGCATCACTGCTTCTCTGGGTACAGTCCCGCTCTCCGCTCTTCCCCCTTGCTGGTCCCAGGGACCTCCACTCCTGGACTGCAAAGTTAAGCACTACCACCCTTGTTACAAAATGTCTACCTTTACATTTCCAACCCTCACAATCAGTCCTGATAACAATTATTCACTATTGTATCACAAGAGACCTATCCGCATCTCTTTTCATCAGCCCCACCGAGACAGATTGGATACTACTCAGTGGAGATTCTACCTTCCTTCACACCCTCTGGATCTAGGCTCCCTCTTGAAAGTTTGTAAGCCAGTCACTTCTTGCCTTTGTAACCCCTCCACTTTGGGTAGCCAATATCCAAGTTGCCCATCCCTGTCTACTCTGTGTTTGGAGGGGGTGAATGATCCTCTCTCTAAAGATTTGTTTCCTGCTTGGAGTTTCTGCATCCATAGGTGTAGGTCAAGTTCATCAAATTGTATCAGATTATTCTTTTTTTCCTCTTCTTTTTACTTCTGGTTGAGCTCTGATCATCCAGTCACTGAAGCCAGGATAAGTGGGTATTATCTGCAAGTGCAGGTGTTCTTTTGCATATGCCCTCTCTTCTTATCAGCTGGACGCTTCACTCTCCACTCTAGTCCTCTGTGGCTATGTCACTGACTCTGGGCCCAAGAGTCCCCAGGCCTTGCCACACTGCTGGCCAACCAGGTCTCCAACCCGAATTCACAGGAGTCTATTGAGCATTGTAGGGCTTAGCTGACAGCTTCATTGCTGTTTTTCCCTCACTTCCCCTTATTGGTGACAAAAGTTGTCACCAATCAGAGCATGTATTCCCAATGAGTCTTAGTCTTAGAAGGAGGTTTGCCCTGAGGGGGCCCGACCACTTGCCTTGATGTCTCCTGGGTGAGCAACTTGCTTGTTCTTGTAGTAATCAGTCAGACTGCCTATATTGTTTTGCATTTTTTCTGAAGGTCTTTCTTGCAAGAAATATTTTCTGTTCTTCTAGCAGCTCCAGGCTGGTCTGCTTGCCCTTTCAAGTGGAAATTTCCCTCCTCTGAAGATTCTGGATGGTGTTCAGGATTCCACCTATGGTCTTATGTAATGCAGAGACTCCATAGGAAGTCTCCTTTACTGGGCACTTGTAGTCCCATTTTAGATATTCTAATCAGTTATAGGCAGAAGATGGATTTACAAGCTTTCTATGGTGATATTACTGTCTATTCCTTTTTCTCCCCCTCAAGTGTCTATTTTATAATGGTATCTCAGGGAAACCAAGCTTCAAAAGATAGCCAAGTATCTTAACATTGTTCCCCAAGAATCCTTCAGTACTTCAAGTCGAGGCTTGAATTTTTTCCTCAGTTCTTTTCAGCTTGAAAATTGGTGAGTGTGCTATTCCCTTTTGGTTTTTTAATTCCAGATATTTGCACGTTTCATTATAACCTTTGACTTTGTCTTCTCGAGTTGCCCTTTGAAATTTTCTGTTTAGCTCTTTTACCTCCTCATTTCTTCCATTTGCTTTAGCATCGCTACACTGGAGAAGTTTCTTCTGACATCCATTTTAGACTTTTCTTTCTTCCTTGTCTTATTAATGATCTTCTGCTTTCTTTTTGTATGATGTTCTTGATGTCATCCCACAAGTCTTTTGTTTTTAGTCATTAGTGTCTAATGCATCAAATATGTTCTTGAGATTATCTCTAAATTCAGGTAGAATATGTTCAAGGCCATATTTTAACTCTCATAGACTTATTTTAAATTTCTTCTGCTTCAGCCTGAACTTACATATGAGTAATTGATGGTCTGTTCCAAAGTCTGTATGTAGCTTTCCTACCATCTCTTTCCACAGACATAGTCAATTTTATTTCTGTGTATTCCATCTAATGAGGTTTGAAAAATGTATTTGCAATGAGCAAGTCATTGGTGTTGTAAAATTCTGTCATGCAATCTCCAGCTTCATTTCTATCACCAAGGCCATATTTTCCACCTACTGATCCTTCCTCTTTGTTTCCAACCTTTGCATTTCAATCGCCAGTAATTATCAATGCATCTTGGTTGCAGGTTTGATCCATTTTAGATTGAAGAAATTGGTAGGATTCTTTAACTTCATTAACATCACTGACTTTAGTGCTTGGTGCATAAATTTGAATAATAGTGTTAACAGGTCTTCCTTGTAGGCGTATGGATGTTATCCTGTCACAGACAGCATTATACTTCACAATAGATCTTGAAATGTTCTTTTTGATTAATGCAACACCATTCTTCAATTTGCCATCCCAGCACAGTAAATCATGTTACTG